GTTGTTGTTGGACAGGGTCTCACTGTGTAGCCCTGGCTGGTCTGGAAATCACTATATGAACCACAGTGGGCCTCTAACTCACAGGTCTCCACCTCTCTAAAATGCTGGGATTAAGCGGCTGCTATTACCATATCAAATTTTACTTTTAAGAAAATGTTGTATGGGGCTAGAGAGATGGCATGGTTGTGAAGAGCATTTGCAGCTCTTGCAAAGGACCAGGGTTCAATTTCCAAGTACTCAAGTGATCGCTCACAACCATTTCTAACTCTAGTTTCAGTAAATCTGTGGCCTCTTCTGGACTCCAAAGGTACTATGCAGGCACATGGCACACACACATGCATTCAGGCAAAACACTATATACATTCTCTATAAACTATGTTTACATAAACAAAGACAAACATTTTATGAAAATAAATATAAATCTGTAGGCAAGTCTAAGATATTCCCTATATTTGACCCTGAATCATTAAAATAATTGGCAAAATTCTATGACCCAAACAAATTCGGGCATTGGGAATATATCTCAGTGGTCGAGCTCTTGCCTAGTGTGAGCTTGATCCCTGTCACTGCAAACATAAAGAAACGAAAAACAAACAAAAGGGAAAACATATTAGCTACCGATATTCAGAGCTTGTTTTTGTTTATGTTCTAAATAAGATCTGGAAATTAAGTTGTTAGGATGCAAAACAAAACATAGTAACCAATGAAATTCCCCAGACTGAAAACCTCAGATGCCACTCTAATTAAAGCTACAATTCTGAACATTTAAATATATAATCAAATGAAAATAATAACATTTCGATTCAGAAGACTTTAAAACATAATTTCCTTTGGGAAATTTGAACATGAGATTGCTTCTGAGTGTAGCCTTTGAGCGAAGGGATAGGCTGTACCCTGCGTTAAGCCTTCAATTAAAGTACATTTTCATATTCATGGGGAACTGCAACTGTCCTCCAAATCTGGCTCATTCCAAACAACTGACTGACAACTCCTGGGAATTATAGACTTTTTCAGACCTTGTTGACATTTCTAATTTGACTCCTGCCATTTGCTCACGCAGTGCAAATGCTGGATGGGAATTGTAAAGGAATACGGGCCACAGGAGGGTAGCGTCGCATTGATGGGACTTCAGAAAATGAGGATGCGATATTAACAGAAAAGTGGGGCAAACTCTGAACTTTTCCTTTTGTCCAAAGCAAGACCTAGTCCAACTACTACCTTGTAATGTTTAAAAACTAAGCATTTATCTTGTTGATTTTCTAGCTAAGAATATTTTTATTGATAACCTTTAAAATTATTTTCTATGGGTGCTCTAAATAATTCATTCTAAGTGGGAAACAACAATATTCATATGCAGCAGAAATTATTGAAAAATTTTAAAAACGGTGTATGGAATTCCAGCACTTGTCAGACTGGGTATGAGGGTAGACACACTTGGCTCTCGGGAGCCCACGGAATACCTAAACTAATGAGCTCAGATCAGTAAGAAACCTGTCTCAAAAACCAAAAAAGAGAGTGATGGAGGGCGATAAGAATTTCTAACTTCTGGCCTCTATGTGCACAGGATTGGGCACTCGTACACACACACACACACACACACACACACACACACACACAAAGTGCTTCCCTCAAAAGAGTGAGGACCAGAGTTTGTTCATAGAGCTCAGATAAAAATGCTGAGTATAAGAGGTATGAGAACGTAATTTTGTGCAGGGTAGGTACATGTAGAATGATCACTCATCGGCCATTTGAGCCTAATTAGTGAGCTCCCAGGCCAGTGAGTGATGATAGATCTTGTCTCAAGGAAGGTAGAGAGTCCTCCTGAGAATAATGCCCAAGGATGTCTTCTGGCCTCAACATAGCTATAAACATGAATAAAGGCATGAGTAAGAAAATGAGGTCTTTGTTTGGTTCCCAGAAGCCAACTTTCATGGCCCATCACCCCAAGTCCAGGGGAGGCAGTATCCTCTTAAGACTCCTGTGGCCATCCTCATGAATATGCACATACAGATATACAGATACAAACACAGAGAGAATTCAAAATAGCCAAGTAAATCACTAAAACGAGGAAATGAGGTTTACTCCTATAATGTGTCTTATTTCTCATGAAGAATTTTGGTTTGGTAATTATCAAATGCCAATTTACAGAATTTACAGAATGACTCTTGATGACAAATGTCAAACATGGATCTTACTGAGGTACAGATGGATAGATGCAGGCACAGCTTCACCAGCTTTAGTTAGGCATACACGTTTTATTTATCTTACATTAAGCATTTGTGTGTGTGTGTGTGTGTACGCGCTAAAAAAATATGGCATAGAATTTAATTGTTTTGTGGAAAATCACTGGCTGAGGGTATCTTTTTGGCATTCATAAATTACTGAATATCAGGAATGGGGAAAAATGTGAAATGAAATAGCAGACAATAAAGCAAACACAATTATGGAAGGTTTCTAACAAGCTAACAATATTCAAGGTCGCCTCAGGTTCTTCCACCAGCCATGCTCATATCATGTTGCACTCTCTTAAGATTTCTGTGGCCACCTCACTCATCTGTCTATGCACATACACAGGCGCAAACACACATGGACTTAAAAATAGCCAAGTACATCGTTTAAAAGGGAAAATATTTTATGGTATTTTAAAAGTTCTTATTCTCCTATAGGCATGTTGGAATAGTTGCAAAGGTACCATGAGACTTACAGACAGCTGATAGAAATCAAAACAAAACAGACAAAATACCAAAACAATTTGACCCATAATTTTATATCTTCCAGGTTATTTTTTTCATTGTAAATGCAAAGACAGACACAAAATCTTTACTTTCTGGACATCCAACACGTCAGCTGATAATAGGAAAACTGAAACTAAATAAAGTGAAAAAAAGTTCAAAAACTTGAGGAATGTTGCTATGGATATTAGCATTAGCTGTTTTAGCTGTTTTGAGATATATATATATATGAAATTTTATTTTTAATTTATGTGTAGGAATGTTTGCCTGCATGTATACCTGTGCACCACGTGCATAACTCTTGTCCATGGAAGTCAGAAGAGGGTGTAAAATACCTTGGCATTGGAATTCCATGATGACTGTGAGCTGCCATGTGGGTGCTGGAAACCAAACTTGGGTCCACTACAAAAGCAGGAAATTCTCTTAATTACTAAGCCATCTCGGTAGCCCCAAGAATCTAATAAAAGTAATTCCAACAATCAAAACTGTGACTCAACAATAACAAAATGTCCTCAGAAGAACATTGTAAATTAGAGAAGAAAGATATTACTCTAATTGCCATGGAGTTATAGGTGTAAACACACACTCTTTTCTCTCAAAAAGTAAGAAAAATCACATTACTCAAATTCTAAAAGCACTGATACACTGAAAAAAAGGCATGCGTCTTTAAAACATAGAAAAGGAGAAAGAGGGCTGAGGATTTGACTCAGTGGCACTGCACATGCCCAGTATGTGTGACCACCTGGGTGCCACCGCCAGTGCCCCAGAGGAAACAAAAACGGAGGGAAGTGAATGAATAATATAAGTTAATAAAAGAGGAAATGTATGTTATACAAAAAGCATGCATGCATCCCATGTTTCCTATAATAAAATATCTTCAAAACAAATCTACCAGAAACATGTAATTTACAAAGATTCTTTACTTTTTTTTTCAACTCAAATGTAGCATGAAGCTAATAATAGCAAATCCTGACATAAGATTACTTGGAATTTGGTATTATTTTGAAACTTAAAATATATTGTTATGTTATCCTCAGATGTCCTTTTAAGTCTGTAATCTTAACTCCATTGTACTTACATGAAAATGCTGAGAAAACTGAGAGACTCTGTTGAGAAAATAATAGTGCTAAAGTCTAGATCTGAACTCATGAAACCTGCCTCCTGATGTTGCACAACTTCACATGCACGCTGGATACTTCATGCATTCTATAGTTTCTCCAATTTGCAGGAATATAAGAAAAATACTTTTAAAATGCACAATAGTTTTTTCCTCTTGCCTTTCCTTTATGTGAGAAAGGAAGACACAGGGCACAGAGAGGGATTTAGGAAATGGGCTACAGAGTGACATGACATGACATGACATGACAAGTTTATGACTGAGTCAAGACCGCATCGTCGGGGTCTCACATCACCAGGCTTTCCTTAGGAAAACCTCTACTTAGAATCCGTATGTCCACCCTTATTAATGTATGCAATGCTGCAGAACATGACACGAGCTTCTCCCAGTTTCTTCCCTAACGCTAATTCTTCTTCCTTCCTTACAGAGAAGCCATCTTAACTCAGAGTCCAAGACAAGGGTGTCAGTTTCCTTAGGTCAATCTTCTCGCCCCAAAGGAAAATTCATTTGTATTTTGAGCCTACAATATTAAAGGTGTGTTTAATCTGTTCTAGGGTAAAGAAAAGAAAGCCACAGTGACAGACATAGTAAGATGGTAAAATCGGCAGTCTAACATTGCAGTCTGAAATGCACAGCCATCTCCCTTAAACAGCTGGTATGTTTCTGCATGCATAATATATAGCTGGACTATTTTGATTTGTAAAGAACAATCTATATACTTGTAAGTTACTTATGTTGATAAGGGTAGCAGAATTATTTATGACAAAGGGCTTCCTATTTTCAATAAGGATACCTAGATGCTATCTGTTCAGAAATGTACAAGAAATCCCATTTTTCACTTTGTCTAAGTCTGCCAATGACATTTTGCCATAGTCGTTGTTTTGTTTTGGTTGGTTGCTGTTCATTTTTGCTATATTTATGTTTCTAGAGACTGAACCCAGGGTAGGCCTTATATACAAGTGAAGCCATCTACTACTGAGGGTTGGCTCAAGCCTCTATACAGACTCACCTTAATGGCAACTGAGACAGTTTCTCATTTGCTCCGTGTGTGTGTGTGTGTGTGTGTGTGTGTGTGTGTGTGTGTGTGTGTGTGTGTGTAAGACATGTAAGACATGCTCAGTATCAACAGTTCTTCAAATACTTTTACTTACAGCCCTCATAGATGTCCGTGGGAATATGGACTGCTGCGTGCTGATAGGATATCTGGCGTCCAAAATTAGCATCTTCAATAAAAACGGGTTTGATCCGTTGGCTGCTGGACTCACTCTCATTTCTCTCAGGCTACACGGGAAAGAAAAGATAATAAACAACTTTATAAAATAGGCTAACAAACCTTTTCATATTCCCTTTCTTGTTTGCCCACAGTATATATTCTTCAAAAGATAGAGCTGTATTTTAAATATGGTGCTGTAGCTAAATGCTTACGTAAATTCTATAGCAGTCACATTAAACGCTCATATTACCCAATTAAAACTCTGTTATCTCCACGTTACTTCAAGTTGGAAGCATTCCAGAATCATCCAGAGCTCTCTCTTAAAACACATTAAGCTGCAGATGTAAAGCACAGGTAAGTGTCATGGGTCAATCAAATTGAAATTATCCACTTGAAATAAATTTCAGGATTTACATTACTAAGCTTATACCAGGCAGCTGACAGTAATATTTTTTAAAAAGTAGCACATATGAGGAGAGTAAGAGAGAACTGGAAGACCATTGTCTTACATTGTTTTCTTGACTTTTGCAACTTTATGTGAATCAGTTTTGTTTTAATAAGAAAGCATATTAAAGAAGAAGAGAAGCATTACAATTCTGAACACAATTACATCCTAACTTGGTTTTCTCAAATAGGCATCAGGATTTCATAAATGATATAAGCCAGTGATCTAAGAATTAAAATAAAAGGTTAATTTTCTGTCCTTTGTCCTCTCTAATTGTGCCTGCCATATAGGGTTCTCTTATTATTCCCTGGGCAGAAGACCATCCACAGTGCTTTTGTAACATTTTTGCCTTGCATATTAGCTAGTTTTTCAGTTGAAATATATTTTCTTATAAACTTTTACCTATTTTCAGACTAAATTTAGACTTATATTTTCAATTCCCTTTGTGGAAAATGTTTTATATATTCTAGATGTATTTTTTAAAAAACTGGGAATAAAAATTAATTTTAAATATAGTACACAGAAAAGTCCCTCCATTTATTAGCACATGGAAGTGATATACCTATTGAGCCATCGGGAAAAATAAAAGGAACAATCAGAAAAGGACAGAAAGCAGTTGATTGAATGTTGGAAGAATAAAAACTCAACAGAATCGTAAAGAGAAAGATTTGTTTATTGTTCATGTTATTGCTTATCATTTTATTGTTTTAAAAAATGTAACCCACCAAATAACATGTTGGTATCTTCAAATACTGAGACAAACACACACTGTTATCTGGAACATTATGAAGACGATTTAGACATAAATATTAACAACACAGACCTTCACCATGACTCTGAACTCCTGCACAACCTGTCACTATGTGGTGAAATAAGTTTAATAAGCCATGATGTCATTGTTTAGGCATAATGAGCCATCACTCATGGAGACTGGTATCAGGACATATGCACATAAACACATCTATTTAGGACTTTCACTGTAATATTGGTCTTTAGTAAAGTTGTTTGGAAACAGAAGAAAAATGTTTTCATTCAGGGAAAACCACAGATATATGGATTTAGTAATAACAATTTATAAATTAACAAGAGCCATGCTTAAAATGAAAATATCTGGATGAGAGGATCACACAGAGAAGACAGGAGAAATACAGAAAGGGGATGCCCATGAGAAACCACAGAGGAACACACTGCTTAGCCTAAGAAAGTCACATCTGCCTTGACTGGGAAAAGAAAGAGTGCAATTGATACAGGAGTTTGATTTTCTTAGATTTTAATATCAAAGTTAACACATTTTAAAAGTCAGTCTTGGATACAATTGACTGAATGAGACATGAGGATGTTGAGGAAGTAAGAAGCTGTGCTAGTGAAGAAAACACTCCACTGATTACTGACAGACATCACAGCGTGTCTCACGATGAGCATGCTAACCGTCCAGAGCTGCTCTTATCTTAAAACAGCAGTGAAGTCGGTACAAGGTACCATCAGCTGTCACCCAGTGCTTCAGAGTACAGGCTTCAAGCTCCGCCTCTGACCACGACACCACAGAGGACACAAGAATTGCCCAGGACTTTAACAAATCAGGAGGGAATAGAAGTTGGAATATCTTCCTGTAAGTTACCAGTCGATCAAACTGGGTTCACGTGAGGTTTCAAGAGAATACCTCATAAGAAATTCGGATCAGCAATAAGCATCACAAACACAGTAACAGATACCTAAAGTTGGTTAACTTCCATGTACTATATTGATTTATCATTTGTAGATAATAGATGAATATAAATGATAGTGCAGGGTTTAGCTCTCTCTAGAAATGAGCAGGGAAAATGGTGCATACCAACTACACATCTGATAGAGGGCAAATACAATGGAATTTCTGATTTTATTGCATTTAAGATATTAAAATTGCTGTTCATTTTAACATCAAAACTCCCATTGTACTTACAGGATTACTGGAAGTAGTTTAACTGAAATATAGCAGATATTAGCGATATAGCAATTAACTGACATTCGAAGATACAGTGCATACTTCTAATTTGCTAAATGCTACATTATATCTCTAACATATCTGTGTTTTTCAGATCTGAAGGAGACGAAACAGAATTTCTCTTTAACTTTTCCCCAAAGCATCTCATCTAAAATAAACAGACTTCCCTTTGTATAAGTCAATACGGAGAAACTGAACAAATGCATTCTAAAATGTAATCAAATATACTTTGTTAAACATGATCAAAACACAAGATGTTCAGTTCTTAGAATGATGTTAAGATAATTTTGATTTTAAGATAATAACTAGGTCACATAAAAACAGAAGTGCATGTTGATGACTGGGTAGTATGTTCAAATTTATACACATGGCATATCTGAATGTTTAATCTGGAAAGTTATATTAATTATATGGCAAAATACTCCTGCATATATACTATATTAAACTCCATATCCCAGTAACTGATAGTTGTAACACGAACTTGATTTGAAATATGTGTTGCTTGCTGAATATAAAATTATATTTAGAACAAAATATTCAAATATTTATATATCTTACCTAGGATTTGAGGGGGAGAAATTTAGTTACTTTATACAAGTGAGCCTGGATATGTTCTCACCCACAGCCTTTGTCTGCAGTTTCATTGTGGTTATCTTCCCTCTCTCCTCTGTGTCTCTTGTCTTTCTGTCTCTCTCTGTCTCTCTCTGTCTCTCTCTCTGTCTCTCTCTCTCTCTCTCTCTCTCTCTCTCTCTCTCTCTCTCTCTCTCTCTGTGTGTGTGTGTGTGTGTGTGTGTGTGTGTGTAACTGAGAAAATCAAACTGGCACTGAATAAAAGCAGTCCACTCAGATCCTCTGGAAATGTATCTGGCCAATATTTGTATTTTATTACTGAAAGAATTGAATGAACGGAGGATGCTACATAGCTTTGAATAAATTCTAACATGGATGAAGGGAATCTACTTCCACTTCTAAGCATTCTTTTATTTCTGTGGCTATTTCATAAGTAGTATTTACAATGTTTCATAGTATCACTTTATTATAGACAGTCTGTACTTTGGAGGAATTCTTTAATGTTTCAGTGGTATTCTCAGTCTTATAGTCTTAATATATAATTTATAGAATGTTATATAATTTTAATATATAATAAGAATATAAATTATATTCTTAATATATAGTATATATTCTTAATATAATATACAATATAATTTATGGTCCTAGATTAATAATTATTAAAAGTAGTTTTTATTCTATTCAAAATGAAATGAGCATGCAAATATATCATCATATTGTAACAACATAATGAATTATAATATAAAGTTTCTTAGCCACTAACTCACCATTGGATTTTATGCAAGTGAAGATGCACTGTTAGTTCATGATGAAAAAGACAGTTGATAGCTATGGTTACTAGGAGTAGAACCTTATTTTTGTAAGTTAATTGGGTTAGTCAGAAATAAAACCTTGGGACCTGCAGCATATCACATCAAAAGGAAGAGTGTTCAGAGAGAACAGTTTGGAAACTCCACCTAGCCAGAGTTGGTTTATTCTTGATGTACAGACAGGAAGGCTATTAAACACTGACTGCATCTATTGTAGTGGTTGTAAGAACACAGTGGGGTCATCTCACTGAACTGCTCAGCTGCTTTCTCCTTGAAGATGCTAAGACTTGTAGACACACTTAATTGTCAATGATACAATTATCTCTATAAAACAAATTAAAATAAAACAAAAGACCAAAATGTAGCAAACAATATGAACTAAACTTTTTCTTTGATTTTTTTTTTGAGATAGGGTTTTTCTGGGTAGACCTTACTGTCCTAGAACTCACTTTGTAGGCCAGGCTAGCCTCAAATCAGAGATCCTCTTGCCTCTGCCTCCTGAGTGTTGGAATATGAGCTACAAACAACTGGCAATCAAAAATATCTTTGTGGTTTTTAAAAATTGTATTATCTTTATTATTTAGTTATTTATATCTTTGTGTGTGTGTGTGTGTATGTGTGTTTGTGATAGCACAATGTACATTTGGAAATCAGAACAACATGTTGAAGTCAGTATTTCTCTCTTTCCTGAAAGGCTGGAGCTCTTAGTCAACCACAGGTTGTTAGTCAAGGGAGCAAGCACTATACCTAGTGAGGCATCTACTAGGCAAGTTCTTCATAATTTTTAACTAATAAAACCGTTAATTCATTAGATGTAATGGAAGATAACTATGACAAGTGAAATAAGGCAAGTCAACCACTGTAATGTGTAATTTTATTCATATGTGGAATCTAAAAAACTGATTTTGTAGAAATCGAGAATAGAGTGGTAGCTGCCTAGGACTTGGGACAGTTGGTGACTGAAGGAGAGACTGGTTAGCTTGCACGGCTACAGTTAGATCTGGCATGCTTCTACGTTATAGGAGGCAACACTTAAACAGCAGGGTATTCTTAAATGCCAGGACTATTTAAAGTCTTTAACATTCAAATGTAAAACCTGTAAACTATTAAAGGATATTTAAAGTATTCACAATGAAGAAAGTTCGATGTGTTTGATAATTTAACCTGATTAAAACAGTACACAATTTAGAGAGGTACTGAAACACCCAATAGTATCCCTTTCATTTGTATAGTTCAATGTTTTGAATATTAGTTAAACATTTG